CAAAAAAAAAAAATTTAAACAGATAAAATAAAAAAAAAAAAAAAAAAAAGATATATCATATCAGGTTATCTGGATTAAAAGTTTGAGGAGTTCTGTTAGTCCTAAGTAATAGTTAGTAAGAGACGATAAAGAGGCTATTAGAAAGATAGATACTGAAGTTTTAAATAAATCTTACAAGGTTAAAAACAGTTTAATGGTTAGTTCTGACTGCAAGTGATAGTTTAGACTAAAGCAAAATCAGGTGAGCTGTAAGTATGAAATACAAAATATACTAGTAGGTTTAGTACAAAGTTAAATATAACTTAGTAATCATGACATATCTTTACTAGTTTACTAAAGTTATTAATAGGATGTAGTAAATATAGAATTAGAGTATTTAAATAAAGGTCCTACAGGTAGGTCCTAGATATAGCAACTAGTGTAAAACCTTCAGGCAGACTACTTAAATTAGACAATAACTAAAATTGTATAAGTGATTAGTTGTACACTCTTTTTATGATTGCCTCTGCACTGTTATGTCAACAAATATTGACCAATTGATACTACCAATAAAATCCTAAATCATATATACTCATCTTAATATTAAAAAAAAAAAACTATTATATACTATGCTATGCTAAAAATCTACTTTGTAATAGTATGCTTACTTTGTACAAGTAATATGTAATATATTAACTAAAAACACAAATAAAGATATTAGCTACTATTAACATCAATCTTAATATATAAAAAAATAAAATAAATAAAAAATTAATATTTAAAGAATTTGCCAAAAATTAGTAAATATATTTTTTAATTAAAAATTTTTTTTAAATTTGTCTATTTGTAACTTATAAATAAATTAAACTTTTTTCTTATAATATAAAATTAAATATTGTCACAAATTATGATGAGATTTGAGGTAATGATTAGAGATAGGATGATCTGCAAAATTTGGCCAATAGGATTTTCTACCTCACCATAATCCGTGACAAATATTACTATATTATAATCCTTATTTTTAAATATTATCAATCAAAATTTTATTTCAATATTTTAAAATTTAAAAAATATAAATCATAAATATATTTTTGTTAATTTTTTAGGAAATTTGCCTGGAAATGGTCTACAGTTTAAGGGATAAGTTATAATTTTTTTAATTCTATGTTACGGTCAGGTTAAACTTGACCCGGATAAATTAATTAATTAAAAAATCCCGGTCGGCATAAACATGATCCCGGCCCGCACTAACCCTAAAATTCTGCTCTTTTATATAAAAAATCTTTAATTCACTCTAATGAAAATAAAATAGATAGATGTACAGCTGTGTTGTACAATACTCGGGATCTTATTCAAAGAACTTTATTTTTAAATGAAAAACACCAGGTTCTATTCATGAGTCCAGCGTTCTCAATTGATGGGTAAGAAAGATACTCTATGTAGTAGAATACTATTTTCAGAAGATACTGTAAATTCTCTTATGCCTTTTAAACGTTATTAAATTTTTACTCATTTATCATTCACTGAATGACGAGTCGAATATGTTCATTGAATAATGCCCATCATTTAATGACGAGTATTAAAATTTTTTTTCGGGGTTTGTGTTACTCGTGAAAATAAGTAAATTCCAGCTATAAAACTCGTGGTCGTAGTGATTCAGATCACATGGAATGTACTTTTTGAACATCCCCAAGTCACCTCGCGCATTATTACTTCATATAGTACTTACGTGAGAACGCGTCTCATATCCGAATTATTCGACATTGTTAAGAAATAGAACTCTTCATTTACAAACAATTATTTCGTTCCGAGTTTGAAAACTCATGGCAAGGAATGCACAAGTCACTTCCAATAGACAGCCTAAACGTAAATTGGCGACAACAAAGAAGGTGTCTAGGCGTAGTAATGTATCAACCTCAAGTAGTGGTACATCGACGAGAAGATCTAGGCGTAAGTTTATTTCCCAAACAGCAGTCTCACTGGTTAAATTTGGGTCTTTAACAAAATATCAACTTGAATTGCTAAAGCTGGAGATCCAGTGGCACCAGCGAAACCTAGGAGGTATCGACCCGGAACAGTGGCTTTACGTGAAATCCGACAGTATCAAAAGTCTACTAATCTCCTTTTGAGAAAATTACCATTTTCGCGTGTGGTTTGTACATTAGCCCATCGTTGAATTTGATTTTTAGCCATATTAAAGAATTGGTTTATTTTAGGTTAGAGAAATTGCCATAGAACTTATGGAACCTGATGCTTCCGTAGGTTATCGATGGCAGTCATCTGCAATCTTGGCTCTTCAAGAAGGTAACCTAATTCATTGTTAAACCAACACTTTTTTTTGGTTATTTTTTTACCTTTTTTTTTTATTTAGCTTGTGAAGCATACCTCGTACATTTATTTGAAGATGCGTAAGTATATTTATTATTCTAACTGAATTACTAATAACGAAATTAAAAATATATTTTTTATTCAAATATAGCAATTTATGTGCTATTCACGCAAAACGCGTTACGATTATGCAGAAGGACATCCAACTAGCTCGAAGAATTCGTGGTGTTTGGGGAGGTCTTGGCTAGAGATGATAATCGATTAGGAATGATTGATCATTTGATTTGTTTGATCATAACCGATGATAAAAAAATTTTTTTTTTTGAGTATGGTCGGTCGATAAATGATCGAACATATTCGATCGTTAATCGTCATACCTGACACCATGCATCACTCGTATTATATTCGCTACAATACGCACATTTAACATAATCCGAATCTCTTAATAATCGTCAAATGTATTATTAATTATTTCACGTTATTCGTGTGACTCAAATTTAAATGCAAATAATTTTATGCTTAGACTAATCAACTTGAATAAAATAAGAATTTCTACAATAATAATATTTGGTTTTATTATTTTCCATGCTAATTCCATAACGTTAATGTCATGCTTGAAATTAACTCTGCGATGTAATTTGTCAGATGTGACATTAATAACAAAAATAAACCGGGTTTTTTGTTTAGCTAAGGTTGGGTTAGGTAGTGTTAGAGTAAAAAAGAGAGTTCAAAGTAAAATTTTGCGAGAAATTTTTTTTTTTGTTATACCGTAAAAGATAGTATCATATGTGAAATTTTGAGTTATAAGCGACTTTTGACAAAACGAACGTTTGTGTTGAATTTTCCTGATCGTGCAGATGCCTAATTAAGTCCTTTTTTTATTAGTCATGCAATTATTTAATTAGATATATAAAATTAACTTTATCTTTTACTATACTCTTTGCATAATTATTACGTCTTATAGTTAAAAAATTAATGTTAATTCATATGTAACTTATGGGCGAATTTATGGAAAATTTAATCTATAAATGTTTAAGAAATAATTTTGTTACCATATCATAGATGCAGATATTCGAAGACGTATGTCATCACGTCAAAAGTGTCATAACGACGTATCAGACATTTACCGAACTTAGTTACGACAATACGGCAATACAAAGATGTTACAACACTATAAAAAGTTATAGAAATATATTAAACGGGGTTTTTTTTGACTTAATTATTGATCGATCAAAGAATTTATCCAAATAACTTATATAACATAACAGCAGTATAACTACATAGTATTAGAGAGCATAGAAGACACTCGTATTTTTACGGCAAATTACGGGAAGATAGGTCATGTGTTCAAAAATAAATACAGGTAATAAACTTGTTATATGACGGGTATTTAATAGAAATTAAAACAACAACAGTGCTAAACTACCAATCAAATTTCAAGAACGGGTGTAATTGTCCGGTGATATAAAATTACGATTTTGATATTTTTTATAGAAAATATCAAAAAAGTAGTTACGCTCTAATTCTTTTGTTTGATTATCACCCTTAGTGGTGTAACCCAAACCCGATAGTTTGACTGGGTAAAATCGCCACCCAAGAAAGTTTCGATCACCTGACAAATATATCGAGCACTAATACCTTAATAAACGTATTGGTATTATTTATTATAGTCAGAAAGTATTATAATTACGGATTTTTAAGTATTTGGAATATTCCATTGCTAATAAACGAAAAAAGAAATAAATTATAAAAACCAATCAAGATAATCCAATTGAACCAGAAAATCTTGTAGATTTGATTTTTTAATGCGCTTCCGGAAGATTATAATTCTGATTATTTATTTGAATCCAGGACGCTGCAACAAAAAGTTATTGATAGTAACAAATGGCCCTGTAGTATTAATAAAAACTTTGTGATATGACATAAATTGGATTATTATAATCATTTTAAAAGGTTAATGGAAATTTGGTTACGGCAATCAACACATGAGTGCATGAGAGTGAAAACCTGTAACCAATCATAGTAAATCATTAAATGTGTTTTCAGGTTTTCACTCTCACGCACTCATATATTATTAGAATAGTGTGTTTATTGGATTTTATGTTTTTAAAGATCGCTTTTTACTTTAAAGAATCGAAGAAAAAAAACTCTTACTAAATCAATTATGTTAATATATTATTATCATGTTCTAATCATGAATTGATAATATATGATTTTCGAAACTTTTTGGGTGGTGATTTTACCCCGGTCGATAGTTCCGAATCCCAAATTGCCGTAACAAAGTCCCAAATAGCAATAATATTTTCTGCTATTTGAGTGACATTTACTTTGATGAAAATTTTGTCATCATACGACTAATTTTTAAATATTGGCAAAATCCCAAATCTCGATCAAAATGTGCTGAAAGTGTCGAATTTCTTTTACTTACTAATTTTTCACATAAATCATCCCATTATAGTAGATCTGGGTCTGTAACTTTGGTTTAACAAAGGTGAAAAGTACAAGACCCAGGTTTATAATGTGATTATATGCAATACAATATTTTTAGAATTTTAATATATTTAAAATAAAATATTCAAATTTATTATTATATAATATTTTTTATTTAATTTATATTAATTTAGCAAGTAAGTATTAAAATTATTTATTGTCTAATATATTTAAAATAAGCTATTCAAGTTTATAAATATTTTTTATTTAAT